GCCTTCAGTCTCCAAGGATGGAAACCAACTTCCTGACAATTTCATGTCATTTCACTAATATCTCTGAGCTCGTTAACAACTCCTGAGGCGTTCGTTGGCTCGGCCGTCGTCCACACACACACACACACACACACACGCACGCGCCGTTCCTGCTCCAACTGAACTGAATCTAAAACAGTTGCTGGGACTCTACATCTGCGCCGTGCCGCATCACAGCTCCCGACAAACCACACAGTCCGCAGGCCGCTATCACATTTTTAGCTTTCCTGCTAAAGTTGCTCTGCCTCTGAGCCTCGTGTCTGGGAGGAGGAGGAGGAAAGAGGAAGACAGACCTCCGAGCACGGCCGCAAAAGAGTTATTTCTGGGGGGAAACATCAGAGCGACTTTCATTGATAAGGTCGTCGTCAGAGCGTTGACGGTCTGCGGTGAAGAGCAGCACTGATGACGTACGGTGTCGGTGTGTGTGTGTGTGTGTGTGTGTGAGACGCTCAGGCAGCCAGGCTAAGACCATATTGTAAAGCAGGTGAGTTTTGCTGAGCTGGTTTCTCGCTGCTGCAACCGGATTCTGCCTAGTGATCAACTTCCACTACAGCAGTGATGAACTAGCATCAGCGAGAGGGAAGTACACTGACCAGGACCCCCGGGGGGGCCGGGGGGGGGAGAGGATTCTTCTTCTATTTTACTGATTTCTCCAATCTGGCAACATCAAGTGTATTTGAAATGGGATTGTGACATCACATGGCCAACTGTGATTGGCTCATATCTTTGCTTACATATTCAGGACAGTGGCAGTCCAGTAATTAAGCCTTAATGATAACGAAGTGTAACCGCCGAGTGTGAGTGCTGGATGTGATGAATCAGCAGCTTTCATCAGTGTGGTCGGCCGGTGCCGGGTTACAGCGTCTATAAACTATTCATTCAGCTGTGATGAAGGCAGAGCAGGAGGACAGGCTCTACAGGAGTGTGTGAATGAAAAGGTCGACACCGTCGAGTCACTCCGAGACGTCAAATCTACTTTTTTATCTATTCCGCCTCAATCAGTGAAGGGCTGAGAAAAACAGGCAACAATTCGCAAAACTTCACTCCATCAACGACGGGTGAAAAGGGAAAATCGCCGCCGCCTGCAGCGGAACCAGAGCTTCCATATGACATATGACATCAGTGGCATGAGCTGCAGAGTCAGCGTTTTGTTTTTTTGTTTTTTTTTTAAGACAAATGACTTTGTCTCAGAGCTTTTTCCGTCACCTGACATCTGCCGTTACATCAGCTCATCAACCACATGCCGGTCAAATGTCAGAGGGAGGTTTCACTTTAATAGTCAAAATGTCAGTTCCTGCATGTGTTAAAACTTTAAAAAACAAAAAAAAACTCTATTGTGCATGCTGACTGAGTGAAGCAGGCTGAGTCATGCTGGGTCGACTCTCTTCTGGGTTTCCCCCTCTCTGACACTCTGCTCCTCCCCCTCTGGCCTAGGAGCAGGATCATGCAGCAGGTCCGGCCGTTGGTGGCGTGTTGGAACATGCCTTGACTTGTCGAGCTGACTGAGTGAAGCAGAGAGAGCTGCATATACACAGACAGACGGAGAGAGAGAGAGAGAGAGAGAGAGGGGGAGAGACTCCTGGTCAACTGTCTGCTGGAGTGATGTGACCCACACTCACACACAGACACAGACAGAGACAGAGACAGAGACAGAGCCCTGCAGCAGCCCGGGACCAACTGATGCCAACACTGCTGGATGACGGAGCTGCTGCTGCTGCTGCTGCTGCTGCTGCTGCTGCTGCTGCTGATGCCGCCTCACTGCCTGGTAGGTGTCAAAACTGGGAATTAAATTCTCTCACTTTTTTTTTTTTTTTTTTTTTTTTACTACCACTGAGTGTTTCTGAGAGTGGCTAGATTAATTGTTTTTTTCCAAAGAGGAGCCTCAGCACACTTTTAATTCAAGTCAAAGACTAATGAGTGTGAAAAGATGAAGCACAAACTTTAAGAGTTGAGACGGCTGCGGCCCAGAGAGGCTGAGTCCTGACACTACAGCACGATGCCATGGTAACAAAAACAAAAGGCTACTCTCTGATCCACGCTAACACTTGGTCGCAGTGTGACCTCAGCCTCATCTCTGTTTTACTCACTAGAACATTTAAATGTTTTTGGAGGTGGAATGGTTCATAATCACGGTAGTTTGATTTTTGTTGAAATGATTATGTGAAAAGATTTTAGCCAAATATTTTAGTAAAAAAAAAATCAACTTTTAATTTAATTTAAAATTAGATTTTGCCAAAAGTTGGATTAGAAACTACTAAAGGTGTATGACAATTTAAATTGGGTCAGGTAAAAGTTAGCTTAGCAACAGTTAAACATTAGTTTAAACAAACAAAAGCAGCTCTTTTCAACACCTGTACCAACCAAAAAAAGACATTTTGTTCTGGCATCGACTGTGATAATCTACGGTGTTTCTCAGTTTGCTCTCATAATATTTAACTGTTATCAGCGTCATTTTACTTTCACACAAACGGCGTGTGTCTTATGCCGCATTGCGCTTGCTGTGACGTTTGGAGCATGTTGGGGGCGTCTGCGTTCGTTTTGTAATCGTGTGGTTTTTAAACAATAAGAAAATGACCTTTTTAGGTCGTTCTACAACAGACAGCGATATGTTACAAAAAATACATTGAATTATTTTTTAGCTTTAAAGCCCATGTTAAAACATATCTATGAACTCTCTTGTACGGCCAGCATGCAGTAAAAAATAATTTGCAAAGATAAAGCGTGGACGCGCCAGAAACCTTTCCATATTTTATTTCCATACATAATTTTATGTACGGAGATTTTTTTACTTTGAAAGAATTATGCCTATTATAAACATAATTTTAAATCAAATCATCTCAGAAAACCCGCTCTACCTCAGAAACTGAAGGGCGTCACTCACAGACAAAGATACACCACCAACTTTTCATTACTTCCACTACCCTCAGAGAATGGCGCCTCAGACGGCACCTCCATACAGGAGCTTTTTGCCTGGACCTCAGTCTGAGCAGAGTCTGATCCAAACACAGATCAGCTGATTGTTTTTTCTCTGCAGGAGAAACCCAGCCGACTGTCACTTCCTTCTAAAAGAAGGACAAAGAGATAAAGAGTTCAGAGTTCCTTTTTTTTCCTAACGTGATTGATTTGTATCTGGGTAAACACCGATGAGAGTCAGAGCGAGACTGAGAGAGAAGATAGGACTCTCTGATTGTGCACAGACAATTATTCACTCCGTCTCTGAAGAGAAGCATCGATATCGTCTGAGACATTTTTAGTCCGCGTTCACTGTACATTCACCAGCAGAAATATATATATATATAAAAAAGGAGTCTGTAACGCTCAGGATTAAAAATACAATTCATTTTCACTCCTGATGTTGTTCAGTCGTATTCAGTAGAATATAATTTAGAAAAAATCATAGATTCTTTTTTAAACAAAATATAGATTAAAAATAAAAAACAATCCAGACATTTTTGAGCTGGTTTGATATTAAAATAATTATGATTGTGTATTCATAAAAAATACTCCAGCCACAATCACCACATCTTTGTCAGAGTCAGAGGTCACGACCTCAAACAAAGAACCACTCAGCTGTGTTTTAAAACTTTAATATCTACAGAAATGATATTCTCACTCAACAAATTAAACAAAAATGACAAATCACTGCGGGATAAATACTAAAACATAATGGAATTGAACCCACCACCTTAGGATGTCACTGCCTTAATGCGCAAAATGCAAAGAGATATTTAATGTTTTAATAATATTTTAATAGTGGCATTATTTTTTTTACATAGACACGTCAGCATCAGGTCAGCCATGAAATAAAACTCCTTTAACTATTACAGTATCTTCACATCAAACCAGTAGTCTCACAAGTCTCTCTAACAGACAGCTATTAACAAAAAAATATAAAATATAACTTGAAGTTAACCTCCACTAACTAGTACTCAGAGGTTAAAAACTGAACCACACGGTTCACACTGAGGCAGATGATCCACAAAATCAATTCAGTTCATAGTCAAACACCAGGCCTGTCAACACACACACACACACAGATTCAGTGAAGTGAGTGATGCGTTCATCACACAGACGCTGCTGAACTATGATCGGAGTATTTAACCTGCGTGTGTGTGTGTGTGTGTGTGTGTGTGTGTGTGTGTGTGTGTGTGTGTGTGTTCAGGCAGGCTGATAGTTACTGCGGCAACTGTGTGTTCTGGTAACCAGGGGATGTGAACCAGACTGTGTCCGACTCAGTTCTCAACGCAACAACAAACACTTTCTGTTCAACAAATCCATGTTTGAAGAGTTGACACAGGAGAGAACACAGAGAGAGAACGGCTCCTGACGTTTTATCAAAGAAATCTGAAGCATCTCCACGTCTCCTCTCTGATCTGTTGAAAAAAAAAGCTCCGGTAAATCAGTACAGGTACAGGAGGTGAAGGCCACCACGGCCCGAGCCTGAGCCTGAGCCGCAGCTTTGACATCAGGGTGAACGTTGTGTCGCTCTGCAGTAAGAAGTCGTGTGATTGTTACTGTATTAGTGTCAGGATGATGAGGTGAGTGGAGCGGCACCAGGACCAGGACCAGGACCAGGACCAGGACCAGGACCAGGACCAGGACCAGAACAGAACAGAACAGAACAGAACAGAACAGAACAGAATATGAAGCACCAGGTAATTCAGGACACCTAGGTGGGTTTGTAGGCTGTGTGTGTGTGTGTGTGTGTGTGTGTGTGTGTGTGTGATTGTACCGGTGTGATCTACACCGTACAGGGCCGTTGTTGTAGCTGTTGTCCCAGCACAGAGCCTCTGAGACACAACCTGCCAAAACAATAATATATTTCACAGCATTTAATGTAAGCTGTTAGGATTCACACTGCAGACGGGAAATTAAATTAAGATTAATTTCACTCTACACACAATACACACTCTTTTCACATGGCCTTAAATTACTTCTTACACTGAGGTAAATATTATTTTAATGAGTCCCTCATTTTATCATTCAAGGTATTTTGAAGTGATTAAACACAAAGAGACATTTTATACTATATTGTCTGTACTTACATTAAATTTAAGATAATTTTAACTTATTTGAAATTATCTATTTAATCTTTCTTATTATTTCCACTAATTGAAATTATCTATTTAATCTTTCTTATTTCCACTAAAAAATATTTAGATAAACAGTAGCAGAATTGATTAATACTTAAATAAATATAAATAATAATAATAATAATAATAAATATAATTTATTACAGTAAAATTAAAATACCTTGACTGCAGCATCCAGTAAAAGTAAAGTATAATAAATATTGATAATATAATATAATGTATGAAACATTAGCTCTTCCAATCATCACTAATATGAACAGAATAATTATTTATAATAATGATGTGTTTAATACTATTTCCTGACTTACTGTATATTTTTATTTCACCATACTAAGACCAAAGAATATTTTTATATGCAATAGAAATATACTTTTTTACCAAAAACAAATATTTAATTTATTTTAAAATTTTGTATCACAAAATTACAGCAATTTAAATTTATATATATTTTTATTCTTCAAATTTTATGTATATTTTTATATTTTTTTATTTTTATACCAGCAGTCTGCTCAGGGGTCTTTGTCCGTCTCAGCTCTCGTCTGTCCTGATGGGACTGATGAAGGACGTCTTATTCTGATTATAAACAACACTTTAACAAATCCCTGCCTCTCTGATCCTCCAGCTTCACGTGAACCTGTTTTATTTTCTTTTGAATTCTCCTCATTTAAAGCCAACAGCCAAACCACAAAACCTCTGTGAACAGAACCATACTTTTTATCTTCCACATTCACCGTTCAACTCCAACAAACAACTTTTGGCAGACGTGTGTTGTTTTGGCTTTTTTTTTGTTGTTGTTGTTTGGCCGTCACTGCAGGCATAATGAGACAAAAGCTGAATCCTGCGCCTGAGGCCTGAGACATACTTGTGGGGTCTGAGGTTTTAGACTCAGGTCTGGGCGCTGCTGCTCCTGACTGTGTGAAACGCTGAGGCAGCCGCTCCTTCATTTAGCAGACTGGCTGCTGTTTTCCCTGCAATCCTGCATTAGGGATTACATCAAGCCCGGAGCAGGAAAGAATTCCTGTCATCATGTGCTGGGTAAAGGCAGTGTCTGCCTTACACACACACACACACGCACAAAAACAGCTGTTTGACAACGGGCGATAAGTATGGAGTGAATATCGGTGCCGCGTGAGAAGGAGATGAAATCTGACTTTCATTATCCGCAAATATTAAAAATCTTAAATGGCCGAGTTAATGTAAGATTTGTTTTTCAACGGACACAAATAGCCCCGCAGTAAAGCTACACCAGACTGAGGACATTCAGCCCAGTGTACTGCATGTCCCTCCTTCATCCTCCCTCCTCTCTTCTCTCACTGGGAACATATCACTATCCTGTATCTATACTGTCCTGACAACACTGCAGGAAGAGGACAGTATGTATGGAGCGGTCGGTCGGCCCGAAATAGCACAGAGAGGAGAAAATGCAAGCGATAGCCACTGGATTACAGTTGATATCCATGAAGAAGACAGACACGGTGGAATCAATGTGAACAGAGAGAAGAGAAAAAAAAACACATCGCAAGAAAAGTCAAACTGTCTTTTTGTTGCAAAGCCATGAGTCACGGCGAGTCTATTCTTAGACCGGAGGTGTTTGCGTTTCTCAGAGTTTCGTTCACTTGAAGTGATGCTGCACAAAATGTGAAATGTGGAAAAAGTAGCGGGGAGCACTTGGGGAAGGAGCTTCAGGTCATGTTTGGATCATCGGTGCATCGCAGTTATGTAAAAGCTGGAGAAGGTAGAGGAGAGTGTGACGCAGGATCTTCATTTTAGGTTCAGGAGAGAGAGGGGTGGTGCAGTGGTGCAGTGGTGGGACGTGTGTCTTCCATGAGAAAGATTCCACCTAGTTCCTCATCTTTGGTGCCAGGAAGGACATCTGGTGTAAAAACTGACTCACACTGGTAGACTTTTGTATGTTCACTTGTTTGCGTTATAATTGTAAAACAAAATAAATTAAGATTTTAGATTCTTAATACTACAAAAGAAAAACAGGTATAAATCATCATCGTTACACTGGATTGGAATTTAAAAAATAAATGGAGTCAAAGGTCAAATAATTTAAGTGAACTTTTAAGTAATTGTTAGTAAAAACTGAGCTTATGATCTTGCCCTATAGAGGGAGCTGTTGCAATCCCAGTGGTCAGGGCTACTTCAGCCTCACACCATGTACTAGCAGTACAGTGAAAATGTTTGTTTCTTATACCCTGAGAAAAGTAAAGTGATACTTTTTTTTAAATAATACAAATTTTATTTTTATTTAACTCCTCACGATTGAGAAAAACATTCACCTTTAAGACTTGTTATTCTCCACTGCATTTGCCCACTAAGTTATGGAGCTGTACACCTTGGCCAACCAACACATAACACAATTTGCTAATATGAAAATTAAAAAAAAAGTGAAAATTAAAAATAAAACAGCTTCGCTCTCTCATTCAAATATTTCTCTCCCAGTTTAACACAAAAAGACATTTTTAGAGATTCAAAACTTACATGAATGAATGTCGTCCAAAGGTTCTGATCCAGATCCTCCTTCTTTGTGTTGCAATACTGCCCCCTACATGATAAATAAAGAGAAAACACAGGCAGAGGGCAGAGATGACCACAGATGACCACACCACTGTTAGCATCAACACCACTCTACTCTTTCACCATCGTTACTCTTATGGGGGAATTCCAGCAGACGTTACCTTGGGGCTAATTCCATCGCCAAGTCATTCATCACCAACATTCTCTTCATCTCTCGTAGAGTCACCAGCACAGAACCAGCCGTGGACAGTGAGAGCTGAGACCCGAGGGACACATCAGCAGGACACGGGTGCAGTATGTGAGTGTTTCTCTGGCAGTGTCTTAGCTGGTTGTTGTGAGGAGTGAGAACGAAGCAATCAGCAAGTATACTGCCGCAGAAATTCTTCGCAATAAGAGGCCCCGGGACTGCAGCCGTCACTGGGAGCAGAAGGGAGAGCGGCTGGGAAGAGACAAATCAGCAGCATGTCAAAGACAGGGATCCTGCTGCTACTGTAAGTTTTTACATGTGTGCTGACACAGGAGAAAATGGAGCGGAGCTGGAGAGACCGTGAAGAGAGTCACAGATGAAACACCGACTGACTGAGAGCAGGATCTGTTTTCATTTACTGCCTCTGAAATATTTACAGATGGATTAAAAGCATCAAAGTTCAAGCAACATGCTTATACGTATACGCGACTCTCTGCTGCCATCTTGTGACGAAAAAGTGTTTTTCGTTCAGTATGTATAATTTCTTCACAGGACTGGTATATAACGACCTATTTCATATTCTAGTTGCACGTGTACATGGTTTAGGTGTTCAACATTTTTGTCTCAAGAATTTACCCTGACGGTTATGACGTCATTGGTGTGAATGATTTGTTGTGAAAATACCTCTTTGATATTAATAAAACTTGGAATATGAAAGTGTGATTTTTTTTTTTGTCACATGACATAAACATTAATACAATGAACAATCAAACACCATCAGGCGTTTTCGTTGCCCCGTGAATAATGCCAACATGTGATTTTTATAAGAATTGACTCTAGAAGTCCTCCTACATACATACTCCACAGAGCCAAACCCACCAACCCACTACAGCCTAATCCATGTAATGACAGTTTCAAAGTTAGAGAAAAAAAAAACAAAGTTCTTGTGGCCTGTGATGCAGCAGTCTGGCACTGCAGAAACTTTCACTTCAGAGAATACGACTAGCAGAGCAGACAATTGCATAACGACTCCAACTCAGACTGGAGAAACTTTTACAAACTTAGTCTGTACTGTCTTTCTGGATCTTCAGCTGACATTAATGAAACGTGTATGAATAGAATTTTGTTTTTCGTTAATATATTCATTTGTACGGGCAGATAAATACCTACAGACTTTCCCGAGACTCATCTGTGCTTGTGTGTTTTGGCGACTTCTCAGGCCTTTTCTAAATGGAAATTTACAACAAAAAAAAAGACATTTTAAAAAAGGAAGGCGTCTACTGGACTTCCTCTATGAGCTGTTGCACAGAAAACAACAAACTGTTCAGTTCAGTAATTCAATTTGATTTGAATGAGTAGCTGCTGTTGTAGCATAACTAAACATCTTATGCCATGCTACTCTATGCTAAGCTATGTCATACTATGCCAATGGAACACAAGGGAAATGCTTGTACCCCAGAGCCACAGTTTTATATATATATATATGATTGCGTTTCTAGTTGATTATCATCATCCAACTTCGTGTTCTTCTTTACTTCCCCTATACATCCAGAATATTCTTTTTTCTTTTCTTCCCTCTGGCTGACAATTCCATTTCCAACGTCCCTTTGTACAAAATTCTCATCATCTCTCCCCCGCATGTGTCTCAACTATGTGAAACCTACATTTCAAACTTTCTGATTGGCTCATTTCTAATCCTCAGCCCCGGTCTCTGACATCACTGAAACAATGCCACTATTTTAAAAACTATATTAAATTAAATGACAAACTTGTCCCATTGTTTCAGCCTGTCGTCTCCATATCAACAGCTCAGTGTTCCGTTCTAGACACGTGGCCTTTTTTTTTTTTTTTTTGACAGTCCTGGTGAAGTCACTTCTAATCTGTAATTAGACAATAAGTGTAAATGTTAGCGGGGATTTAGCCTCTCTACTAACACCATTTTAGCCTCCTTTAGGCTAATTATATATTTGTATTTTACTAAATCTTCATTTATCCTGACACCCAAACGAACCAAACACTGACAGGAAACGGAAACACGTGTTACATCACTCACCAGTTCTTATTTAACCAACTCTAACTCTACAGCTTCAACAGTAAAAGCTCATTAGAGCCAAAAATAGAGCTCCAGCAGTCAGTACTCCAGCAGCTGACTCCAACTTCTGCTCTGTGTTCCGGGTTGGTGTAGGAAAAGGAGGAGGAGGAGCAGGAGAAGGACGGGGAGGAGGAGGAGGAGGAGGAGGGAGGGCTAACAGCCTGCAGGAAAACATTTGTGTGGCTCCCTGAACATAAAAAAAAAACATGAACTAAGTTTGAGAAGTCACATGGCTCCGGCTGGAGTCGTTGTTTTAAAGGTGTGTCAAGTGAACAACATGGTCCAGAGCAGTCCGAGTCCAACCACTGACCTCTGCTGACCATGGCCAGCGCTGATGAGACGGAGGTTTACTTGTCGGAGCAGGTGGTGGTCCTGGTCTCCTGCGCCCTCTCCTTCCTGGGTTCCTCCCTGATCATTGTCACCTTCGTGCTGTGGCCAGACTTACGCACCACTCCGCGGAGACTGCTGGTCTTCCTCTCCGTGTCAGACTGGCTCTCCGCCGTCTCCTACGCCTATGGAGTGTGGAGAGTTTTCCACACGGACTCCATTGACTGTGTGATCCAGGGAGCCGTGTCCACCTTCGCCAACACCAGCTCCTTCTTCTGGACCGTGGCCATCGCCGTGTACCTCTATGTCTTCATCGTCAGGTCCAGTCAGAGGGTCGCTGACAGCCTGGTGCTGCTCTTCCACACGGTCAGGTGAGTGAGTGGGTCACGTCAGTGAGTGGGTCACGTCAGTGAGTGGGTCTCACGGTGGGAACAACGGAGCTTAAAGTTGTTTTTTAGATGATCCGCTAGAAAATAATTTATTTCAAGAATGAATTTTATTTTAAGGTCTCGTAGTTTTACTTTTGAGGGCATTTTAGCCCCAGTGTGGACCAGTTGGTGGTGGAGTGTATAGTGCTCTTGCCTTACAACTAGAACATCTGTTTGATCACATGTGATATAAAAGCCTAGAGGGGTTTAAAATTAAGTTAATATATTAAAAATATATACTCTTCCAATAAATAAATGCACATTTTAGCTTGTTTTGTCACATCTGGGGCATTTAATTCCCACGTGGGGAAAATAGGTGTGGAGTGGTTAGTGCCCTTGCCTTACAACTACCATTTGATCCTCAGTACGAATCTATAGATCTTTCTTTGCATTTTGTATTTTTGTCTAACTTGTAGCCGTTTCTCAGATAATGTTTTGTTAGATGTTAGCAACTCTGGTTAGCTCGGAAAAGTGGTAAAGTTACTCTTTGATCTAGCTCGTAATTTAATCAGTTTACCTGCACACTCGACCCTTGACCTCCGCCTGCTGTCACATGAAGGTCAAAGGGTCAATATTAGATTCCTAAGAGTAAATGTACCTTAAGCCCCTGTCTATTTCTGACCTTGTTTGGACGGAGGTCAGCAGATGATGATGCTCAGCCGGATCCTGTCACATTCAAACCATACACACACACACACACACACACACACACACAATCACACACTATGTATAAAGAAATATAAATTGTTCGCTTGATTCAAACCAAAGTCTGTATTGATGAATAAATCAACGCTACATAATTCACACCTGTGTGGAGGCTGCACAGGTGAGCTGTTGCATAACGGCCAAGAAAACCATGGAGTCCTGTCCTCAGGGGAGACGCTGAGGAAGACAAATTGGGAGGCAGCTGGGGGAGGGGTTCTCCCCTGCTACCTCTCTCCTGTTGTTTTCTGTTTTGATACCAAACTCAGCTTCTCCTCTGTACTCTTGAAGTAACGATGTACGTGTACATAACATGTACTACGTTATCAATTAAACACACGTGGAAAAGATTATTGTTTGTTAAATACGTTAACTGATCAACTCCAGTGTCACACACTGGTAACTGACGTGAGATTTCCTGATTCATGTCACACACTGGTAACTGACGTGAGATTTTCTGATTCATGCATTGAGTTCATTATTAGTCTGTCCACATATATAATCGTAAAATAAATAATAAATAGTCAAATGCAATGTCAAGTGGACAGAAATGTTACAAACTGCAATTATGGGGAAATTAATTGTTAAATAATTAATTACACATCTTGATATTTGTTTTATTTAATAAAAGTATTTCTTGGGTTGGGTTTTATTGCCAAAATAATTTACTGACCAAGAAATGAAAATATTAGATACAATTGTGTATTTTGTGAAAATATTCAGCAGTTATTTAAATCCAAATACTTTCATGTAACTTTGCTTGATAGTGTTAGTAAAGAGCAGATCTTTATTTGAAATCTTTGTCGGTTATTTTATAAGTACAAATCCTCACTCTTTTTTTTATGATTATTTTATTGGAAAAACATTTTTATAAAGCCTTGCTGAGCCTCTTGTTTAATTGTTAGCTGGACCTGTATGTAATGAAGGGCTCTGCAGTAGCTTTGGTCCTGGATGTAAAACTGGTCTTTGTCAAATGTAAAGTTTCAAAGAAAGGGAAATGACTAACGATGGTGTGGCGCTGCATAATGAGCCTATTTTTAGATGCTAGAACATTTTCACCCTGTGCTAACACAGTTTCTGTTGTGGTCATTCTAATTTTGTTTCTGGGAATTCACAATAGCTTCAGCTGACTAGAGTCCAGACAGGAGTGCCATTCATGGAGGCACAAACAATCACAGACAAAACAAAATGTTCTCATGTACCAGTGTCCAAAAGTAGCAGGAACCAGTGACGAGAAGACATTTAAAATGGGTGAAACTGTCCTTTAAGAAGGACATGTTGTTCTAATGTCTGATGTAAAAAAAAATGGGAGAAAATGTCATGTCTTTTTAAAACATACCTGTGTTATTCTATATAACTTATCCTGGCAATAGCCAAAGGTTAAGGTTTAAGCTAACCTAATGTTAGCTTAAAAGAATAGCTACAATAGTCCTTAAAGATAGCTGCATGTTACAAAAAGGTAAATGTTTGCTAAATAACAGTTATAAGAGTACCCTAGTAGGAGCTTTATGAACTGGCTACTATATTAAATAATATTAAATATTAGAAATTTCCGACATTGCCAGACAATCAAATTGATGTGCCATAACAGCTAAATGCTAACTGAGCCAAACAAAAGATGATTTATGGTTGGCTTAAGTGTAAAGCAAAACAGAAGTAGCTTAAAGTTAGTTCCAGGGTAGCTGTAAATGTATCAGAAGTGAGCAAAGAGACAAAAAGGCTAAAAAGTTAACCCAATTCTGTCTTAAAGTTGGCCAAGAAATATCAAGAAGAAAAATATAGCAGAAAAGTAGCTAAATAAACAGCTAACAGTCAGCAGTTGTATCAGCGTGAGTTGATACAATTGAAAGTGATTTAAATGCCCAACACACACACACACACACAGAGAGAGAGAGAGAGAGAGACTGCACAAAGTGGTCATAAAATGATCAGCTGTGCTGCTGTAAAAATAAATTCATTTTCTCAAGTGTTTCTGAATTGACTCTTTGCTCCAGGGAGAAACAGAAACAACCAGCATCTCTGTTAGGGACTGAAAGAAATCATTTTTGTTTGTGTGCCTGAAGCAGAGAGTAATCTCCCACATGATGTCACATGATCCCCGTAGATGTGAGGAAAGATCTCACTGTAAACAGGAGCTGTGTGCAGATGTTTGAAGACGACAGGTGTAACCCTCATCCATCTGTCTGTCTGTCTGTCTGTCCGTCCGTCTGTCTGTCTGTCTGTCTGTCCGTCTGTCTGTCTCTCCGTCTGTCTGTCTCTCCGTCTGTCTGTCTGCAGCTGGGGCGTTCCTCTCATCATCACCGTCGCTGCCGTGTGTCTGAATAAGATCGGCTATGACGCCTCAGAGGTGTCGGTGGGCTGGTGCTGGGTCAGGATCACAGCTCCAGACCGGGTTCTGTGGATGCTGCTGACTGGAAAGATCTGGGAATTTCTGGCCTACCTCACCCTCCCCGTTCTCTACATCCTCATCAGGAGGCACATCCACATCGCGGTGAGGAACAA